ACGGACCAATTCTCCAATGGATAATACTGAGAAAATTGTATAGCCACCTATAAAAGAATGAAATTAGACAACTACCTTACAGCATGAACAAAAATCAACTCAAATTGATTAAGGATAAATATAAGCCCTGGAACCATAAAACATCTAAAAGAAAATGTAAGGAAAAGCTGCTCAGCATTATGCATCTTGCAATGATTTTTTTTTTTTTCTGATACTAAAGCAAGAGTCAGTATTGCATTTAGATAAACTTTGTATCTCCATATACTCTCCAGGTCTGTATGTTCTTTTCATCTTTCTGTCTTCTCTTACCAGTGTGCTGATGAATCTGAAACAGACTGAACACAAACATGGATAATGAATGATATCTTATAGGTTTATTTGTTTTATAACACAAGGTTACAATGATCATACAATTTCAGAAAGTTGAGGACTTGGAGCCCAATTCAGAAGCCAAGTTTTTGACATAGTTCTTCAACCAGTTGATCTCTTGTTTGCAAAATCTTGAAATTCCTTGGCCAAGATTCATCCTTCTTTAGTAACAACTATAGAGTAATAATCTTTATTAAGCAAGTTAAACATCCCACAGATTATTTTGAGACTTAAGGATGGAGTGTAGGTATATGCACTGTCTTCACAGTAGGATTAAAACCACAAAATTTTTTTTTCATTTATTTTTATTAGTTGGAGGCTAATTACTTTACAATATTGTAGTGGTTTTTGTCATACATTGACATGAATCAGCCATGGATTTACATGTATTCCCCATCCTGATCCCCCCTCCCACCTTCCTCTCCACCAGATTCCTCTGGGTCTTCCCAGTGCACCAGGCCTGAGACAAAATTTAAAGATAAAAAGATGATACATACCGATTTCCCAGCCAAAGAAGTAAATTATACCTAAGTTTAGCAACAAATGACCACATTCCTGCTTTCTGATGCCATACCTTCTATCTGAGATATATTCCATACGGTTTCTAAAAGACTATTTGTTTTAAAATTGCTCCTATAAATTTATATATTTCAATAAATCTACATATTTTCAATAAAGTTCATAGTGCTTTCTTTTACTGCAGATTGTATCTTTTAAAATCTATTCAACAACTTTATATTTCACTTTTTTCCATACATGTGACCATTTGTTTTTGTCCCCTTGACATAATATCACTTATCTTTGTCTTTTAAAGCATAATTATAAGTTAATACACTATGTTTTAACTTAATTGAGTTGTGTGAAGTTGAACAGGCTTATTGTTTCACTTAACCCAACCACTACCCTTTACCTAATAGTTGTTTACAAAATGTAAGACTTTCTATTTTTAAATGAACTAATGAAAATTATTTTTGTGCATGTTAGTTTATATTTAACACATGTAAATAAAACACTATTTTTATATATTAATACCTACTGTTTCTGCATATTTCTTTTTCCTAAATGCAGGACTCCAATAATTTCATCTTTCTGGGAGGTTGTATATTTGAATCTTTGTGATTATTTCATCCTTACCAGTGTGTTTGCTTAATTTTCCAACTTTATGACATTCACAGGTTTTGTAAGTTAGTCTCTGATTTCCCAAATTGCTGATGAATATTTCCTGAACAAAGCATGAAGGCATGGGTTTCAAAATTCATTAACTTTAGTAAATAAAATACTCAGAAACCCTTGAATAAGGCAAAACATGGTCAATAAGTGGTAGGTGGTAACATTAAATGTTTAAGTGCAATAAAAGACAGGGACGTTAGAAAAACAGAACAAAATGCAAATAGCAAAAGGTGCAAAAGAATGCTACATTCATAAGGGAGAGTTGATAAATACTGTCCAATTCTAAAGAAGAGAAGGATAAAATCAAACTCACAATTAGAGGTCTCAATGCTTTTACATTCTAAATTTCTTTTGAGTCAAAGAAAATTAAAAAAAAATATTTTGAATATGTTTTACATAAATTCTTTGAATAAGCAAGAAAATATGATTTAAAAATAATTTTCACAAGCAATTAAAGGCTAAATAAATAATCTTGAGTTACATAAGCAGTACATACTCACTGAATTAAAATTAACAAATATAATTAAGTGGAAATAGTTCCCAAAGTTGAAAATATTTGAAGGCTTTGCAAATGAAAGTAGCTAAATATAAGAGACTAGGCTTAGAGATTAGAGAACAAGGTTCAGAATAAGATATGCATATAACCTAAAACTCAGAATTTGGTGTTTAGTCACTCAGTCATGTCCGACTCTTTGCGATCCTATGGACTGTAGCCCACCAGGCTCCTCTGTTCATGGGCTTCCCCAGGCAAGAAAACTGGAGTGGGTTGCCCTTTCCTTCTTCAGGGGATCTCCCTGACTCAGGGATCAAACCTGTGTTTCCTGCATTAACAGGCAGGTTCTTTACCTCTGAGCTCCCAGGGAAGCCCTAAATCACAGAATAAATGGATTTAATCTCCCAAACATTGTTTCTATTTCTAAATTATACTAGAAATTAAAGTATTTGATTCAAGGAATATACTATTGATATTTATTAATGAAATATCTTGACCATGTGTATGATTTCACTGAATACTCAGGACAAGGAATGCAGAAAAATACAGCCAATGAACAGCCAGCTGGTGCAGAAAAATGTGGGTGAGTCACTCAGTGAAGGAGTGAACCATCTCTGAGAACAGCCTGATTGGTCCCCTGCATGGCCTCCAGGACCAGATAACCATTTGGACCTTTGGGGTGAGAGCATGGTCCAGGGATGAACCGATAACATTGATGACTTCATGAATATCCCTTTGGTGAAGGTCAACTATGTGGACATAGGGGGATGGATGTTAGAACGGAGTGACCTTTCGTGCCAGGCCATAAGGTTAGCTTGACAGCATCTCAGGGCTTGTCTCCTTAGCAAGTCTGGGCTCCCAGTCAGTTTCCTCCAGAGTCCTACTAAGCCAGCTTCCTAGCTAACTTCATATAATGCTTAACTTTAACATTAAAACACCTTAACTCATTTTTATTGCTAACTTGATAACAGATTCCCATACACAGGAAATCCATGAACTTGTTATAAAGAATATGTGTCACATTCATTCACTGAGCATTGACCTACCTACTTTGGAGCCATGTACTGTTTAAAAATTGCCATATTTGAATGTGTGTGCTGTGGTTTGTGTATATGTCTCAGTCTGGGAGAGAGAAAGTGAGAAGAGCATTGGAAAATCTCTGGAGAATGGAAGGGATCTAAAGAGTGCTACTTTAATTGGTGCATTCTAGTCAGTCAGCAATTTTCTTGACAGCATATGTTTGTATAAGCTCATACTTATTATTTAATGAACATATATGTCCATGAGGGGAAGAAGGAAAATAAAAGGTCTACTGCTACAATTAAAAGTTGAGTATTGAAATGTGACTTAAGCATCTCCTGGGGAAATAATTCAAAAACTTAAAATGGAAATCAATTTTAAGTATTTTTGACATATGTAATATATCATTATCTCTTATTAATACTAATCATTAATTCTGACAAAGAAGGCCAAAGAAAAAGCTAAATGGATCTTAAAAATACTCTATATGATTAGATTATATGATACTGTAACTTTTGTCTCTAAATGATCAGGTACTCAGTCATTTCCCACTCTGCTACCCCATGGCAGACTGCAGCTCACCAAGCTCCTCTGCCCAGGGAATTTTCCAGGTAAAAATTCTGGAGTGGGTTGCCATTTCCTTCTCCGGGGGGGTCCTCTTGACCCAGAGATCAAACCCATATCCCCTGCATCTCTTTCATTGGTAGGCAGATTCTTTACCACTATGCCACCTGGGAAGCCCACTAATTAATCTTTTTATTCTCTAACCAAAGTTTCATTGAAACACATCATACTTTTGAGAACCCAGTGGAAATATAGAACAATTAGATGAAAGTTTTAGAATTTCATATGAAGTTTAGTTCCTAAGTCATGTCCAATTCTTTGCAATCCCATGGACAGAGAAGACCTCTAGACTCCTCTGTTCATGGGATTTCCCAAGCAAGAATCCTGGAGAGGGTTGCAATTTCCATCTCCAGTTGGATTCATATATTTGGATATGAATACAACATGATTACATAGAAAATATTCTAATGAAAAATGATAAGTTGATCCAGCATTGTAAAGTTCAATATGTACTCTACTAAGTTAAGAAAATGAAGCCCACAATCACAGTAAGCTTCAACCAGTATTTTAAAATTCATTAAATACTCCATTTAGTTCAGAAAATTAACCAAACAACCCCAGAAATGAAGGGACTCTTTTCCTAGTAATTACATTCCATAAAGCCTTCTTCACTTCACTGTTCCGGAGGCTGTAGATCAGAGGATTCAACATGGGGATCACCACTGTGTAGAACACGGAAGCCACTTTGTCCTGAGTGAGGGAGTAGCTTGAGGAAGGTCTGAGATAAGTGTAGGCGGAGGTGGAATAGAAGAGGATGACGGCTGTCAGGTGAGACGCACACGTGGAGAACGCTTTGCGCCTCCCCGCCCCTGCGTGCACGCGGAAGATGGAGAAGAGAATGTAGCAGTAGGAGGTGAGGGTCACCAGCAGAGCCCCAACCATATTCACACCAGCGAATGTGGACAAGATGCTTTCATACAGGCGTGTGTCAGAACAGGAGAGCTTAAAAATTGGAGGAGTGTCACAGAAGAAGTGATGGATGACATTGGAACTGCAGAATGGCAAGCTGCTCACATAACCTGTGTGAACCATGGAGTTCAACAGACCGGCTGTAAAAGCCCCTGTGGCCATTTTCAGGCAGACCGTCCTGGACATGATCAAGGCGTAAAGGAGAGGGTTGCATATGGCCACATAGCGGTCACAGGCCATTAACCCGAAAAGGATGCATTCAATTGTGGCAAAGGCTATAAAGAAGTACATCTGCAGGAAGCAACCAGCAAAGGAGATGGACTTCTTCTCTGATAATAAATCTACCAGCATCTTTGGAGTGATGGTGGATGAATAACCAACATCTGCAAAAGACAGGATTGCCAGGAAGAAATACATAGGTGTGTGAAGTCGAGAATCAGTCCTGATTAAAAGGATCATTCCAATATTTCCCACAACTGTAAGTGTGTAAATCACCAAAAAAAGAAAAAAGAGGATAGTCTGTAGCTCCAATGTGTCTGCTAATCCCAACAGGATGAACTCTGTCAGCAAAGTACAATTATTTCTGGCCATTTATTAAAGATGTTGTATGCTTAAACCTGTATTCCTAGTAAATATGTCAGTGTCCAAATTTCACAAGAAATAGTAGAAATGTTAATGAAGTTACTAACACATGGGGAAAATAAAATCCTGGGATAATATAGTAGAGCAAGCAGGGTGTCTATCAGTCAGCTCAGTTCAGTTGCTCAGCCATGTCTGACTCTTTGAGACTTCATGGACTGCAGCATGCCAGGCCTCCCTGTCCATCACCAACTTCCAGAGTGGCTGTAGTAAAGAGGAAAGTAGTGGACAAATGAACAAGCATTGGATTTCAATAAGCGATTGTATTGAATCTGGGTTTTGGAACTCCCTGTTTGCTTAGGTCCATAGAGTCCTTTTAAGTTTCTGAAAATGCAGCATATACATTCTATTCTTTCTCTTCTAGCCCACTCACATCCAAAATGCAAAGTATAGAACTATTCTTGCTGAGTTCTCGCTCATCCTCTGCACAAGCATGTAAGGTTAACTCAAAAGCCTTCTTCTCTCATCAAGACTGCTCTGCACACTCTTCAACAGCAAAATTCATGCATCACAATCTGGAAATCACGCCGGTGTTCTTCAAGCAGCAAAAACAGTGCCTACTGCAAATAACCAATATTTTGGCATCTCTGAAATTCTTAAGAATGCTTTTGCAGTGTTTTGCAAGTGGACCAAAACAACTGCACTCGTTACAAAGCATACTATCAAATTAATTCCACGTAGTTGCAAATACTGTACCTGTCCACAGCAGTGAATGACAGCACCAGGTATTTGTAACTTCCTTCTTAGAGTCTTAGTTGTGCTGTCCATTATTTTCCTTTTTACTAGAATTCTTAATAAGCTAAGGTGAAATTTAAAATAAAAAGATTTACACTTTTTTAAATGAAATAAAAAGTCATAAAACTTTGAATTGCCTCTCTCCAAAATATTCAAGCCACCTTCTGAGCATATACACATGACTGCCCTTTTATTTTGCTTTCCTTAAAGAGGGTTGGATAACCATGGGGACTAGATTATAGGTTTTAATTGTGAGTCAGTCCTCTTAAGACAGAGGCTTCATTCTCAAAGCAATTAAAATGTGATCATATGCAGACAACTGAATAAAACATTATGTGGCACTTCGATCATATGGAAATAAAGGAAATAAAGCATATGGCACTTTGAACATAAAGTGGTTTCTGATCTCTATATTACTTTAAAACTTTTTGTCCAGGTAAAATATAATAATTTTAATTGGATATTTAATTGCCTCTTTATTTATAAGTTAAGCTTAATCAAAAAGGTACATAACCCACATAAAATTATTACACTTCCCTTTGTGTGTATGTGTGTGTACTCCTCCTTTGGTCTGGGTCAGTTTAACTTCTAACTCTCTTCTTGAGTGAAATGCAAAGGGGACACTAACTACACCATTTGCTTAAGAGAATACTATACCCTGAGCATTAGGACAATGGATTAAGAACGTTTAACTTTTCAAATCTGGGTATACTTGATTTACAACATTGTACTAGTTTCAAGTGAACAGCATAGTGATTAAGTATTTCTGCAGATTATACTCTATTCAAAGAGTTGGGGGGTAGGATAGGGGAAGGGGAGGGAGGCTCAAGAGGGAAGGGGATCTATATATATATACACATACCCTGATTTTATTGGATAAAATTATCCTATGTATACATATCTATGTATAAATATATGCATAATTATAAATTATATATACCATAAATTATATACATGCTGCTGCTGCTGCTGCTAAGTCACTTCAGTCGTGTCCGACTCTGTGTGACCCCATAGATGGCAGCCCACCAGGCTCCCTCATCCATGGGATTCTCCAGGCAAGAACACTGGAGTGGGTTGCTATTTCCTTCTCCAATGCATGAAAGTAAAAAAGTGAAAGTAAAGTCACTCAGTCAAACCGACTCTTAGAGACCCCATGGACTGAAGCCCACCAGGCTCCTCCATGGGATTTTCCAGGCAAGAGCACTGGAGTGGGGTGCCATTGCCTTCTCTGAAATTATATACATAAATAATTATATATATAATTATAATGGATTTGTGTTATACAGCATAAACCAAGAAAAATTTTCCACCAATCAAAAATAAACAAAATTAAAAAAATTATAAGACAGTGGCTATAATTTCTTATGCTATAAAACACATCCCTGTCGGCCATCTATTTTACACATGGTAGCTTGTCCCTCTTAATTGTAAACCCATAAAGTCCCTTTTAGTCTGTGATGCGCTGGAGCAGTGAGCGACCAAGAGGAGACACCCCATGTCCAAGGTCAGAGAAATCATAGTAAGACAGTAGGAACAGGCAGAGGGCATCAGAGGGCACACAGACAGAAACCACAATCACAGAAACCTAACTAACCAATCTAATCACATGGACCACAGGCTTATCTAACAATGCAACCATGAGCTATGCCATGCAGGGCCAACCAAGAGACGAGCCATGGTGGAGAGTTATGACAAAATATGGCCCACTGAAGAAGGGAATGACAAACCACTTCAGTCTTATGGCCTTGAGAACCGCATGAACAGTATGAAAAGGCAAAAAGATAGGACACTGAAAGATGAACTCCCCAGGTCAGTAGGTGCCCAATATGCTACTGGAGATCAGTGCAGAAATAACTCCAGAAAGAATGAAGAGGCAGATCCAAAGCAAAAACAACATCCAGGTGTGGATGTGACTGGTTATAGAAGCAAAGTCTGATTCTGTAAAGAGCAATATTGCATAGGAACCTGGATATTAGGTCCAGGAGACAAGGAAAATTGGAAGTGGTCAAACAGGAGATGACAAGAGTGAATGTCAATACTTTAGGAATCAGCAAACTAAAATGGACTGGAATGGATTAATTTAACTCAAATGACTATTATATCTACTACTGTGGGCAAGAATCCCTTAGAAGAAATGGAGACGCCATCATGTCAATAGGAGTCCAAAATGCAGCACTTGGATGCAACCTCAAAAATGACAGAATGACCTCCGTTTGTTTCCAAGGCAAACCATTCAGTATCACGGTAATCCAAGCCTGTGCCCTGACCAGTAATGCTGAAGAAGCTGAAGCTGAATGGTTCTATGAAGATCTACAAGACTTCTTAGAACAAACACCCCAAAAAAGATGTCCTTTTCATTATAGGGGACTGGGATACAAAAGCAGGAAGTCAAGAAACACCTGGAGTAACAGGCAAATTTGGCCCTAGAGTACAGAATGAAGTAGGTGAAAGGATCATAGAGTTTTGCTAACAGAATGTACTGGTCATAGCAAACACCCTCTTTCAACAACACAAGAGAAGCCTCTACACATGCACATTGCCAAATAGTCAACACCAAAATCATACTGATTATATTCTTTGCAGCCAAAGATGGAAAAGTTCTATACAGTCAACAAAAATAAGACAAGGAGCTGAGTGTGGCTAAGATCATGAACTCCTTATTGCCAAATTCAGACTTAAATGGAACAAACTAGGGAAAACCATTAGAGCATTCAGGTATGACCTAAATCAAATCTCTTATGAATATACAGTGGGAGTGGGAAATAGATTTAAGGGACTAGATCTGATAGACAGAGTACCTGATGAACTATGGCTGGAGGTTCATGACATTATACAGGAGACAGGGATCAAGACCATCCACAAGAAAAAGGAATGCAAAAAAAAGAAAAATGGCTGTCTGAGGAGGCCTTTCAAATAGCTGTGAAAAGAAGAGAAGTGAAAAGCAAAGGAAAAGAGGAAAGATATGCCCATTTGAATACAGAGTTCCAAAGAATAGCAAGGAGAGATAAGAAAGCTTTCCTCAGTGATCAAAGCAAAGAAATAGAGGAAAACAATGGAATGGGAAAGACTAGAGATCTCTTTAAGAAAATTAGAGATAACAAGAGAAAATTTCATGCAAAGATGGGCTCAATAAAGGACAGAAACGGTATGGACCTAACAGAAGCAGAAGATAGTAAGAAGAGGTAGCAAGAATACACAGAAGAACTGTACAAAAAAGATCTTCACAACCCAGATAATCATGATGGTGTGATCACTCACACTCACCTAGAGCCAGACATCCTGGAAAGGGAGTCAAGTGGGCCTTAGTAAGCAACACTATGAACAAAGCTCATGGAGGTGATGGAATTACAGGTAAGCTATATCAAATCCTAAAATATGATGCTATGAAAGTGTTACAGTCAATATGCCAGCAAATTTGGAAATCTCAGCAGTGGCCACAGGACTGGAAAAGTTCAGTTTTCATTCCAATCCTAAAGAAAGGCAATGCCAAAGAATGTTCAAACTACTGCACAATTGCACTCATCTCACACGCTAGTAAAGTGATGCTCAAAATTCTCCAAGCAAGGCTTCAACAATATGTGAAACGTGAACTTCCAGATGTTCAAGTTGGATTTAGAAAAGGCAGAGGAACCAGAGATCAAATTGTCAACATCTGCTGGATCATCAAAAAAGCAAGAGAGTTCCAGAAAAGCATCTATTTCTACTTTATTATTTCAAAACCTTTGATTATGTGGATCACAACAAATTTTGGAAAATTGTGGAAGAGATTGGAATACTAGACCACCTGACCTGCCTCTTGAGAAATCTGTATACAGGTCAGGAAACAACAGTTAGAACTGGGCATGAAACTACAGACTGGTTCTAAATAGGAAAAGGAGTACATCAGGGTATATATTGTCACCCTGCTTATTTAACTTATATGCAGAGTACATTATGAGAAACGCTGGGGTGGATGAAGCATGAATTGGAATCAAGTTTGCCAGGAGAAATATCAATAACCTCAAATATGCAGATGATTCCACTCTTGTGGCAGAAATTGAAAAACTAAGGAGCCTCTTGTTGAAAGTGAAAGAGGAGAGTGAAAAAGTTGGCTTAAAGCTCAACATTCAGAAAACTAAGATCATGGTATCCAGTCCCATCACTTCATGACAAATAAATGGGGAAACAGTGGAAACAGTGGCTGACTTTAATTTTTGGGGCTCCAAAATCACTGCACA